CTTCGTTTGTACTCGAAATCGAGTTTTGACTTTTCCATCACGTAACCAACTGCCTTTTCTATCCAATAGTTATTCACCAACCCAAAATATTTTTCGAACAACTCCTCGTCGGATCCTCAGACCTACACACCAATAATTAAAACAATGCGGCAAATAGGAGAAAAATACCGAAAAACAAACAAAAGGCTCGAACTAAACTAAAAACACACAATAAAATACAAAACACACATTAATACTAAAAGTAATGACATAAAATGGGGAAAAAGAACGACGAAAATATAAGAAAATCGGACACAAAAATAGGACAAACAGCATCTCGGCAATCTTGCCTCCTACGGTGGGAGTTGGCCAGGACCAGTTATTATGGGGGTGGTCGTCTAATGGCCAAATTACGACGTAGTCTGCATATGCTTTTTTGGCTCCTGCGGATCCGACCCCAAAGCCTCGCCTCTGGAAGTTGATATGGCGATGGGTAGGTCCTCAACGCATCAAGCAATTTCTATGGCTTGTCGCGAAAGAGCGGCTTTTGACAAATGGTGAGCGGCATTGGCGTCATCTGGCGGACAACCCATTATGCAAGTTGTGTCGAACTCCTTTGGAGACGACACTTCATGTGCTACCCGATTGCGAGTTCCCGACACAATTCTGGAATAAGATAATCCCTCGTTCACGTTGGGCAACTTTCTACGGAATGGAGCTGGGTACGTGGTTAGAAACAAATTTGTCTAAGAAGTTAGATCTTTTAGATGAAAACTGGGATGTTTCATTTGGTGTCAGCTTGTGGCGGCTTTGGCAAGGGCAGAATAATTGCATTTTTAATGGTCTTGATCCTTTGGTGGATCGAAAAATTTACGATGTTCGCAACTACGTTGCTTCTCTAAAGAAAGCGACTTCGAGTTGCCTGCATCTAGGGCAAAATGGGCTCCGGCGTTTGGACCACATGATCTGGTGCTAACCTCCGTGGCTGGGGTGGGTAAAGTATAACTCTGACAGTGCATTCAATACTTTTACAGGTATGGCGAGTGCTGGAGGTCTTTTACGTGACCACAACGTAAGGTTTTTGGGTGGATTGATCATGAATATCGGGTTTAGTTCCATTATGGGCGCGAAACTTTTGGGGTTTTTGCAAGGCTTGATTTTAGATTGGGATTTGGGGTATTGTCGAGTTATAGCTGTTTGTTATGTTTTTGTGCTTATTTTAATGTGTTTATATGTGATTTCGAGTCGGTTCTAGGTTCTTTTTGAGTCGACCGGTCCATTTTGTCGCATTTTGTGTGATTTTATGTTTTTCATTTCATTTTACATTTTGGCGTACTTTCCCGTGCTTTTGGTATATTTTCAGGTTTATTCCAGGGTTGAACGAAAAGAGTCGAACCGCAAATCCAAAGAAATTTCGAGCCATTCGCACGAACCATTTCAAACCGAGAGTTTCGA